GTCTTGTCAATTTTGTCTCACACTGATGATTTTATAAAGGAGCACACTGCTCAAAGTCAGACGTACTTTACCAATTAACATAAACTATTATTTTTGATTCAAAGGCTTTAAGAGCTAAGTTTGGTTTAAGATTCAAAGTTTCATGATATCTCAAGGCAATAGTTTCAGTGCTTCATCCAGCCTCGGCAGCTCCAGAAAATCTGGATTCTATTGAGAATTTGAAATTCTGTTCTACATTTCCCTCCCTTTAGAACAGAATTCTTCCTTAAGATCTTTATCAAAGAGGGACTTCCAGTTTTGGAGGAGAGAGAAGCAGAGTGAGGTAGGATAGGCTCCTTGGGGAAGGCACGGAAAAACCAGAGAAAGTGTTTTCACAGAGCAGCTCCAGAGCTCTGGATCTAGTATAAGGTGCAGGACAACAGTTTCCCGTACCCACCCATGGAAAAATCACTGTAGAAATGAAAATACTGCCATCTCGGAATCTATCAGGATGCAGGACTCTCTCTGCAGCCACTCCACCTGGGCTGAGATCAGAGGGCGGAGCCACAGTCAGACTGATACAGTGACAAGGCACTAAAAACCAAGCAGTGGCATTTGAAAAAAGAGGGGTTGGGGATTCTACACATTTCTTTCCTCCTCTCCCCTATTGCACCCTCTCTGCTCAACCCAGACACCTTCGGCAGAGTAGGAGCACACACCCAAAAGAGTCCAGTGTTGAGCCCACAGTTTCCCCACAGCACAGAGAGGAGGAGCCCCATTGGTCCCAAGGGCTGATCCTTTGGCAGCTGCTTATGACATCTGACTCTGGGACCCAGTCCTAAAGTTGACCTGGGTGGGACCCTTTATTCCTACCTACCCAGCAAGAAAAAGCAGATCTGGCTGTACAGACAACCCGTATGAACACTCTGTAAAACTCATTCATTGCTGAAACACATATTCTGCCTTTGCCCCTCTCTCCCAACCAGAAATCCTTGGAGAATCAGACTTCAAATGCTGTTCTCTCCATATGACACTGACGTGGCAAGAGGGTTTGTCCCCACCCAAAGTTTATCCAAGCAAACTGGGAGATGTCCTATGCTACCTGCTCATGTAGCTGAATAAAGTCTCACCTGAGAGCCCAACACCTGGGCACTCAACTCACCTTTGTGGTCTCCCAGTGCATGGCCTTGAGCAAGATCATAAGGCTGCTCTGAATCTCAATTTAATCATCTCTAAAATGGGCATTTAGCTAACCACGTTTATGGAATCCAGTTCACATGCCTCAAATGGCCCATACCTGTGGATTTCTGATGGCATCTAAGGCAGAAGTCCACATTTATCTATCCATCGCCACCCCTTACAGAGACCCAAGCACCAGGTCTCCTGGGAGAGGGGAGGGGGGCCAATTCCCAGTGGTGCCTTTGTCCTGGCCCACTGTTGAGAGATAACCAAGCAGATGAGCTTGGGTGAGTACCCTTCAATTGTGGGGATTTTTTTTTTTTTACCCAGCCATTGGTTACGTGTCTTTATAAGCTGGCATGTCTGTAACCTGGGGTGCGTGTCCCCTTGCCCTCCCACAGTTTGCATTATCTTCTCTGACAGCCCGCTGGCCTTCTGCCCAAAGACCCTGCTTCAAAGTATCTCTCATCTTGTCAGCATGCTAAGATGGATATTTCACAGCTGGCAGCTTCAATCAACTTGAGTTCACTGTCAGCCCCTCCTCATAGTCCCCCACCTTACTGTGCCACCCCTTTTCCCTCAGCCACTCAATTTGGCTCATTCATCCTATTCAGTCCCTGCTTTCTCCCTCTTTAAAATCTGAAAATACTCAAAATCTATTGGAAGATACAGATTCCCAATCCTGCAAATGGACAAGGTGATCCCAAGTAGACCTAAGCATTTCCCTGTAATCGGGACAGCCATGGTCTTTGCACATGGTATACACAAGGAGCTCCAGAAAGACCTGTGCACTAGAAGCCAAGAGACCAGGGTTCAAGTCCCAGCTCTACTCCTTATCACTGGCATCTGTTTCCTGGTTTATAAGTCGCAACCTTCAAGTAGGGAGCTCTGAAATGTCCAGAGTGAAATGAAGACCTGGAAATTTTAGACTTTATATTTGCCCCTAAATCCTCATAGTTTTACACCTCCATAATGAATCCTGGTGTGGCACTGTAGGTTAAGCACTGGACCACAGGGTCCTTTTGAACTGCAAGGTCAGCAGCTGCTCCTCAAAAACCCTATACAGCATTGCTCTGAGTCAGACCCTACCTGAAAGCACTTAACAATAACAACATCAGGAAGACTGGAGAAGAACAATGCCTTTGAATTATGGTGTTGGAGAAGTATATTAAATATACCATGGACTATGCCAGAAGAACCAATAATCTGTCTTGCAAGAAGTACAGCTGGAATGTTCCTTCATAGCAAGGCCGGTAAGACTTGGTCTTATAAACGTTGGACATGTTATCAGTAAGGGCCAGTCCCTGGAAAAGGACATCGTGTTTGTTATAATAGAGGGTGAACCAAAAGAAGACCCTCAATGAGATGGATTGACACCGTATTTGCAACAACGGGCTCAAACAAGCAAAGAAAGGGAGGTTGGTGCAGGACCAGGCTATGTTTCATTCTGTTATACGTGGGGTCGCTGAGTTGGAAGTGACTTGCCAGCACCTAACAACAACAACATACTGTCATAAGGAGTCTGGGGCAGGCAAATCAGTTGCAATTGGCTGCTAACCTAGAGGCCAGTGGTTTGAAACTACCAAGCAATGTAGCAGAAGAAAGGCCTGAAGATTACAACCAAGGGGACCCTATGGAGCAGACCTACTCTTGGACACATGGGGTCCTCATGAAGCAAGAGGCAGCTCCAGCGCAGCTAACAACATACTCCCTTTAAGTGGCATATGTGTGTTCCTTTAACCAATGGTCAAAACATCAACTTGTCATAATTAGAAGAACTTAAAAGCAAAATTCCATCCATCACCCCATCCACCCCAACCCCCATAAATATCCTCAGCACTCTGTTTCCTGTGTGCACGTGTGTCATTCACACAGCAATGATCGTGTTTCTATTCTCTTTGCTCAGCCTTATTTCACAGAGTCAGTCCATGCTGCTAAAACCTGTATTTCTCAAATGTCTGCCTAACCACATCAAAGAAACATGCTAAATTTCCCTAATCATTCCCAGTGGTCAGATGACAAGACGGCTCTCCATGTCTTCACTGTGTCGTTCTTACCACCGCTACAAGTCACCTCTAGGTAGTGGCTATCCTGTGTACAAATATGGCCTCCACCCACTCAATGCCAGTAGCATCCTTCCAAGTCATGCCAACCAAAATGTCTCCAGATAGAGTCAAATGTCCCTGGGATCAAAGTCACCCTAAGTTGACACCCATTTTCTTAGAGGACAGTGATGCGTGGAATCTGTTGCAAATGAAAGTCAGATATTCTCTGAAGTTTCTGGGAAAAAATCTGTTTGGGTAGAATCAGAGAGTAAAAGAATGAGCAATATGAGGGGAGTCAGAGGCTCCAAGTTTGAGTTCCAATACTCCTCAAGACCTCAGGGCCTCATCTGTGAAATGGGAGCAAAAATAGTGATCCACCAGTCAACTTGTTATGAACGCTGGGTTAGATCATGAGCATACAGCTCTCCATAGAGCCTGACACACAGCCTCCCACCCCCCACTTCTGTTGAGTTGATTCTGACTCATAGTGACCCTTTAGGACACAGTAGAACTGCTTCTTTGGGTTTCCAAGGCTGACAGTCTTTATGGGAACAGACAACCTCATCTTTCTCCCTAGGAGAAGGCTTTGAATCTGGACCTTTGGGTAGCAGCCTGACACTTAACACACTGTGCCACAAAAGCTCCTTCAGCACACAGCAAGCTCTCCGTTAATGCCATAGGTCTGCCTGCTACTGCTGACACCCACTTGGTTCTCTACCATGGTCTTTCTGCTTTTGGGGAAGGAAAGGCGGGGATCCTAGGTGACAGACTGAAAGGGAATCTTGCCGTTCTGCCCCAGCCCAAACTTCCCACTCCAGATGTGGCCCTAGGGCAGAGAGTCAGCTTCCAGAACCAGCCTCAGCCATTCTCTTGGAACCATGGATGGGTTTGCACAGGGACTCACAAGAGATGGTGAGGAGTGTCTGTTTTATACTAGGTACTATGGGAGCTTGGCTCTGGGGGCAGACTGCATGGGCAGGGAGTGAGTGCTACATCATTGGAGCATGTCCTGAAGACCACCAGACACTCGTTTCCTCCTCTATAAAATGTGGGCTCTCTGTCTGTGCCCATCAAGAAGTCCCTCGTGGAGTTTGTTGTTGCTACTGGTGTTGCCCTTGAGTTGACTCTAACTCATGTTGACCTCGTGTAGAACAGAGGAAACTTTACCTGGTCCTAAGTCATCTTCATAATCATTGCCATGACTGTTTTGTCAGTCCATCTCATTTTTGTGGTCTCTCTACTTTACCAAACATGTCTTTTCCTAGCAATTGGTCTTTCCTGTTGTTGAACCAAAGTCCCACCATTCCTTGCTTCTAAGGAACATTTTGGTTGTATTTCTAAGACTGATTGGTTCGTTCTTTTGCCAGTCCTATCTTCCTCACCAACACCATAATTGGAATACATAAGTTCTTCTTCTGTCTTCCTATTTCATTATCCAATTTTCGCATGCATATGAACCCAGTGAAAAGACCATGACTTGGGTCAGGTGCACCTTAGTCATCCAAGTGGCATCTTTATTTTCAATTTTTTTTTTTTTTTAAATAATAAAAGTGGTCATTTGCATCACATTTGCCCAGTGGGAATACGTCATTTGATTTCTTGGCTGCTATTACTTCTACAGACATTGATTGTAGATCCAAGTACAATGAAATCATTGCCAACATCAATTGAGCCCCCAACACATGAAAGATGCTTGGTTAACACTGGGCTCATCCAAGCTATTTCTCATGCCAAAAACTGATGGGTGGGCAGAGTTCTTGACCAAAGCCAACAAGTGCATGTGGTTTTTGTCTCCAGGAAAAGTATGTAGAGGAGCTCTCAGCGATGAGGCAAACCCTCCAGACAGACCTGGAGACGTCCATCAGAAGGATTGCTGACCTGCAGGCAGCCTTGGAAGAGGTGGGGTCCAGCGACAGTGACACAGAAAGGTACCTCCAAGGGACCAGGTGGGACTGGGCTGTGTCTCACATCTGCTGGGAGACCCAAAGGCATTTGGGGGTGGGAGGAATAACTAGTTGGTTTGAAGGAGGAGAGATAGGGTGCTTGCCAGCTGGTGTTTACGTCCCTTGTTAAAGCCGACCACATGCCCTGGCTCTCAAAACCATTGATGAAGCAAGATGGCGGAATGGTTGAAAATGTATCCTAGCTGTGTGGCCTTGAGCAAGTTACATGACCCACCTGGGATTAATTGGTATACTAATATGAGGATGAGTCACATGACATTGTTATGTTAAAACCATTCTCTTTATCTCTTGTGTGTGTGTGTGTGTTGTGAAAACATACACACCAACAGATCTGCCAACACAACTTCCACATTTGAAACTCAATGACACTGGCTATATTTTTCATGTTGTGCCACCATTACAGTTCTCCCCATCCAAAACATTCCACTACCATCAATGTAAACTCAATCCCACCAAGCAAAAATTCCATCTTTCCTTCTTCCTCCCTCTCCTGGTAACCTCTAATGATCTTTGTTGTTGTTGTCAGGTGCCATCGAGTCGGTACCAACCCATAACGACCTTATGCACAGCAAAATGAAACACTGCCCGATCCTGGGCCAACCTCACTACTGTTGCCACGCTTGAGTTCATCAATGCTGCCACTTGGCCAATCCATCTCGCTGGGGGTCTTCCTCTTTTTCTCTGACCCTCCACCTTACCAAACATGATATTCTTCTCCAGTGACTGGTCCCTCCTGACAATATGTCTGAAGTATGAGAGACAAAGTTTGGCCATCCTGGCCTCCAAGGAGCACTCTGGCTGCACTTCTTCCAAAATGGATCTGTTGGTTCTTTTGGCAGTCCATGGCACTTTCAATATTCTCCCCCCAACACCATAACTCAAATGCATCAATTCTTCTACAGTCTTCCTTATTCACTGATCTTTGGTTTCCTTATTCAGTGAGCTTTCGTTTCTATCTATTTGTATATTTCATATAAGTGAGGTTATCCAACATTTGTCATTTTGCAACTGACTTATTTCACTCAGCATGATGTTTTCAAGGTTCATGTGTGTGTGGCATGCACCAGGACTTCATTTCTCTTTATGGCTGAGTAGTATTCCACTGTGTGTATAGACTACACTGTGTTTATCCATTCATCTGTGGATGGACAGGTTGGTTGTTTCCACCTCTTGTATGTTGTGAAAAGTGCAGGTTTCTATTTGCATTCTTGCTTTCACTTCTTCTGGGTGGATACTCAGGATTGATGTTGTGTATCATACAAAAATTCTAAGTTCAACTTTTTGAGAACCTAATTTCAACTGTTCTTGGCCTACAAACTGGCAGATGAATATCGTACAACCTAGTATCTGCATCATAGGACTATTCATGGGAGTTGAATGAGTTAATTTGTATATGAACATAACTGAGAACTGGGCTACCAGCATTTAAATGCTCCAGAAGTATAAATGATGTTTGTACAGATCAATGTGTGTAATTTTTCGAAGGCAATAGTAGGCTCATGATGCAGGCTGGTTGATGACCCATGTCACCCAAGTTCAGGACACCTCCCCTGTCTCAGAAAACAGGCTGCTTCTCAGCATCTTCACTAGAGTTCCAAGTTTCATAGCACATGTGTGGGCTGCTCAGTGGGAGGGTCTTGAGTATCCTTCACTGGCCTCATGTCCCAGGCTGTCTGGCCCTTGTAGATGGCTTCAGAGTGACGATCCTCAGAGCTGCTCCTGTATGTAGCATCCACCTGTCATTTCCCAGGCTTGCAACAGCATCTCCACCCAATCCCAGCCTCTGCAGTGGGACTTGATGTGAGGACAGGCAGTGTCTTTGTGTAGCATTGACCCAGAACCAAGTGCCTGAACCTCACCTGTGGATGCAGTTCCCTCAAAGAGGCTGCCTCCTGGCTCTTCCTTCTTGGTCCTGTGTCTGTTTGGTTGATCCATGCTGCAGCTGGAGAAATCACACACCAGCCTCTCTGTGTCCATATGGGGACCCTGGGCTGAGAGAAGTTCAAGGTCACACAGCAAATTAGAGTCATCTCTCACACTGACGTCTGCTGAATGTTCTACCCTCTTGAGTTTCATGCTTTGCTTGCCTCATTCCTCTTAATGGGGTACAGGCGGGGGTGGCTGTTAACCTGCCAGGCATGTGGGTATGAGTCAGGGAGAGAAGCAGGGAGGATTACAGGGGAGGGGTGGGAGCCTTAAGAACGGGAGCATCAGTGATAGAACTGACCACATCTAGTCAAGACAAAATATCAGAAGAAAATAGACCAATGTTCTAATATGAGGGAAGGTACTAGTGATTTCATTTTCTTGCTTCCAGCTTCTTTATATTTTCTAAATCCTCCTAAATGAACATGCTTGGTGAAAACATTCATAAGACAACCAGAAGGTTGGTAATTTGAGTTCAGAAGGTTGGTCATTTGAGTTTACCCAGAGGCCCCTCGGAAGAAAGGCCTGGTGATATTCTGAAGCATCAGCCATTAGAAGCCCAGTGGTGCAGAGTTCTACTCTGACACACATGGAGTTGTTGCCCGTGAGTCAGAATCAACTCAAGGACAACTGGCTTTATATATCCAGCTATATGAGTGCATACTTTCTATTTTCTTGTTTAAGTTGTGCACTCATATATCCAGAGTCCTGAGGTGATGCAAATGGAGAATGCACTCATCTGCTAACCAAAATGTTGGTCGTTTGAATCCATCCAGAGGTGCTTCAGAAGAAAGTCCTGGCACCATAGTTTTGAAACATCTGCCATTGAAAACCCAATGGAGCACAGTTTCACTCTGACACAAATGGGGTCACCACGAGTCAGTATCAACTCAATGGCAACTGGTCCTTAATACAACCAAATGAATAATGCAAACAGACTCTACCTTGATCCAGTCCTGCTCAGGGACCTGGTACCTCAAGTTCTCTCCCACCTTTAAAAAAAGCACAGTATTTTATTGTGAATTGAGTGAAGGTTTACAGAGCATATCATCAGTTTTACACCTGATAAATCACACACTTTGGTTTATCTCAATGATTGCAATCCCTTCCATATAACATTTCTTATCCACTCCCTCTCTATGATTTCTATTTCCATTCCACCTTCCTTTTCAACCCCTCTAAGTCTTGTACTCAGGTTTAGAGGTTGCCCTTTTGATCTTTGACCATTCTATTGTGGGCGTAATTTACTAGTGCTGTTGCTCCCCTGCCACCACCATATATCTATTCACCCCTTGACTGAAAATTGGACCATGAGACCTGAAGAGTGGCCAAGGGCCATAATCTCTACCAGTCTCTCTCTGACCAATAAGCCCCATCTTTTTTTATAATTTGGAGTTTTGTTTCAAATTGTCTCCCACTCTACGCAGGACCTTCTAATGTGATCCCTTTCAGAGAAGCTGGTTCTGGTAGCCGGGCACCATCTAGTTCTTCTGGTCTCAGAATCACGTTGACAGATATTCACCTGGATATGGGTCCATTGGATAGTTGATTAAAACATTTTCTTTCTTACACACATGGAGAGACCAATCATTGCATCTTACATGACTGCTTATGAGCTTTTAAGATCCCAGACGCTACTCACCAAGTTAGGATGTAGAACATTGTGTTTGTGGGCTTTGTTATGCCAGTTGACCATGGTGTCCCCTGCAACTATGATTCTGTGATCCCAGGCCCAGCAACTGGTTGCCTCAAGGCGTTTGATGCTATCCAAGAAATTGTCATCATTTTGTCCCTTGTATGCTCCACCACATTCATGGGTGTGTTTATAGGAAAGGTGAATACCCATGTATAAACATTCCCTTATACTCTCTCCCATATGCGTTCAGCCTATGAATCTGTAAACCTAGTGTTTTTTATGCTTGTGAATTTCGATCCACATTTTTCTCCCTTTCAGAGCAGTTGTAAGACCTCATATTCTTGCCTCTAAATTAAGAGCATTATCTAAAAAAAATCTTCAATTTGTGCAAAAATGGGTTCTATGCACATTACATGTTTTTCCACTCTTCCCTGCTGATTTCCCCAGATGTCAAACTGCTGGTGAAATGGCAAATACTGATGCTGCAGCTGCTTCCCAACTACCCCACCCCCACCGTCCCCTCCTTCAGTTTTATTAGTGCCACAGCAGAACTTACGTCTGTAATTACAAACCCCAATTGTCTACATCTCCCGCTTTATGCTTGGGCTGGCTCTTCCATGAATAGAAACTCAACAGCTTTTGCATTCATTATCCTAGGAAGTAATGGCTGGGTAGACTTGGTTTTTGCCATTGAGCAAACATTTGGGATCCATTTCCACTTGTATAGCAAACGATTGCTGCTCTAATAAACAATAAAAGTTTTTTGTGTGTGTGTGTGTGTTTTTTTTTTAATAAAATAAAAAAGAGGCAGAAGGTCCATGCCTGCAAGTGACAAGATGAGTGGAAGGTGTGACAAGAAACAAGAGACAGACTTCTCACCTGGGAAGTGAGATGCTGATGGTTGTGTCACCGAGGGTCCCAGACAGTCTTCTCTGCTTATGGGGAATCCTCTCAGACCTTTAAAAGACCCTGTTCTCACCCTCATATAAGCCCTGGCAGCTCAGTGTTTTAAGAAAGGTCAGCAGTATGAACCCACCAGCTGCTCCTTGGGAGAAAGATGAGGCTGTCTGCTCCCATAAAGAGTCACAGCCTCAGAAACCCTATGAGAGCCGTTCTACTCTGTCCTGTGGGGTTGCTGAGTCAGAAGCCACTCAATGGAAGCCTATTTGGTTTTGTTTTTTGTTTTGACCTGCACCCACATCCAAATAGTCCAAATAGGAGACACTTTTATCTGTCTCTGTGTCAGGTGGTAGATCTCATCCTTACCTCCTGTTCTGAACCAACTTTCTGAGCTCTACCACCTAAGAAGGTCCCTTAGGTGGCACAAATGCTTTCCTCTCAGCTACTAATATCAACATTGGCAGCTCAAACCCACCCAGGAATGCCATGGGAGAATGAATTG